TGAAATCGCAAAATAACAATTCACTGTGGGCGTTGGCTTGAGACTTTATATCTCATTATTTTCACACTCATTCTTTCAAAATACATATTTCTGATTGAGCACTATGTGCTAGGAACTGTACTACAGAGTTTACATATATTATCTCATTTAATCTTCGAAAACAGCCCCAAGGGCTTCCGGCCATGATGTACCCACACAAGCCCTGTCTCTGTAAACAACTATAAAACTGGAAAAAATTTACGAGGCAACTGTTTCGAGGCGGTGGGAACAGGCAGTTCAGGGCTGTGATCCCAAGAGAGGGGAAGTCCAGGAGGGGAGCCCCCTGTTCGCCAGGCCCCCTTTCCAGCATCGTCTTGTGTTTCTCCGCACTGGCCCACATGCTGTCTCCTGGCTCTTCTAAACAGTCCCAGCTCTTCCCTGCCTTTGGGCTTTTGCATCTGCTCTTCTGTCTCCCTGGAAGCTTCTTCCCTCTTGTTCCTCGCATGGCCGGCGCATTCTCATTCTTCATGTCTTTGCTGAAATGTCACCACTTCAGAAGCCTTCTCTGAGAGCTCCACCATGTTGGTCTCTCTGTCGTCAACCTGCTCTTCTCCTGCTGGGACTGGGTAAAGTTTATAACCGTGTATCTATTTGCTCACTTATGCAGTGTCTGCCTGTCCTACTAGACCATGACTTCTACAACTACAACCAGTGCCTAGAATAGCCCCCGGCATGCAGTAGGTGCTCAACAAAGAGCTGTTGAACGAATCAAGGAAGGAAGGATAAATCAGATTGGCCCCTCGCTTTCCTGGGGAGGAGAGGGAATGGGGAGTTAGGGGGAAAATGGGGAGAGAGGGAATTCCTCCTCCCCTTTTACAAAAGTTACCGAAACCCAGAGACCTCATCGGGCAGATCTGAGAAGGCTTCGTGGAGGATTTGGGACTTGAAGACAGCATATGTCCCATCATAAATCCTCCCAGGGGCCTTGGGAGGGAGACTTTGTCCTCCTCATTTCACAGCTGAGGCTCAGAGACGTGAAGGACTTGGCCAAGGTCACCCAGCTGGTAAATGGAGGGATGGGAACTCAGACGGAGGCCTGGTGAGTTCAGAGCCCCAAAGCATGGCGCTGCCTTGCTTTGAAAGCAAAGGATTGAGGTAACTTTTCTCTTTTCCTCTCCTTTCTCTTGCCTATCTTTCTCCTTTCCCCACTTATCCTTGTCTGGCTCTTTTGCAAGCTCTACCGACAGAGGGACTTGAGCTGGTGAAGTGCAGTTCCCGAGGGCACAATGGAGCAGGTGCCCCGTCTCTTCATGGAAGGACTTGGGGAGGGCAAGCTCTACCAGCCGAACTCCACAGCCAAGGTAGCCCCCAGCTGCAGCCGTGGCCCTGATGATTCAACCCAGGGCCCCTTGGCCAAGGCAGCCTGTGCCAGGGGACCCCGGCACGGTGGAGGCTCAGGGCTGACTCACAGGGCAGCCTGCCACCACCTGATTCATCCGCTCCACCTCCGGCTGGAGAGAAGAGGCTGGGGCGCTGGGGTGGGGCACTGGGCTGGGACCCAGTGACTCATCCCGAGAATAAATAATAATGATGATTGTAATAACAGCAATAATGGACAATGACAGCTACCTTTAATGAGTGCTTTGTATGTGCCAGGTGCTATCTATTAATTCACTCAATCTTCATCACAATCCTATGTGGTAAGTACTATTATTTCCCCATTTCACACATGAAAATAACTGTGGCCCAGCAAGGCTATGTAAGGGGCTGCAGGACTCACAGCTGACATATAGAAGAGCTGAGATTCCAACCAAGCTCAGTCTGACTCCAAAGCCCAGCCATTCATTCAGCAAATATTCATTGAGCCCCTACTATAAGCCAGGCATTGTAGGCACCAGGGCTACAATGATGGATCTGGGCGAGAAGTCAGTAAACAAATAAATATATGATATGTTAGGTGGAGATGAGTGCTATGGGGAAAATAAGTTAGACTAAGCGGGCTAGGGATACCTGGGGGTTAGGGTGGGGATTTCATGTTGAGTTTGTTGGAGTCCTCCCTAATAAGACAGCGTTGAGCACAGCATTGAACAGAAGGAAGCTAAGGAAGGAGTCACAGGCCTATTCTGGGCCGAGAAGAGCAAGTGCCAAGACCTGAGGTTGACCTGGGATTGCCGAGTATATTCAATGAGTAGCAAGGAGGCCAGTGTGGATGCAGCAGAGTGGACCAAGGCCAGAGTGATGGAAGTAAGTCAGACGGGTGGGGAAGGGGCACGAGTCATGTAGGGTCTTAGAACCATTGGGAGGACTCTAGTTCTTACTTTGAATGATGTGGGGTCCAGAGAGGGTTTGGGGCAGGGGAATGACATGATGTGACTTATGGTCTAAAAGGATCACTTTGCTGTTAGGAGACCAATACAAGGATTAAAAAGCAGAGAGACAATTTGGAAGGCCAGTTTAATAACACAGGTGAGTGATGATGGTGCCTTAAACCAGGGAGGTAGATTTTAGAAATATTTTGAAGGTAGGGCTGATGGGTAAGATGTGGGCTGTGAGAGAAATGCAGGAGTAAAGGATGGCATCAAAATTTTTGGTTGGAGCAACTGGAAGGATGGATCCCCTCTCCTCCCTCTATGTCCCCTCCCTAAATGCGAAACACTGTGGAAAAAGTAGGTTTGGGGGAAAAGCCAAGTGCTCCGTTGTATCTACTATCAGAGGTTCTGGGGGACATTTGGACATACAAGTTCAGAAGGGAGGGCTGGCCCAGGGATTTAAAACCAGGAGTCATGGCTGTATAGATGGTACAGAAAGCTGTGGAACTGAATGAAATAGCCTGTGGAGGGAGATGAGATAGAGAAGGGGTCAGAGGGTTGAGCCTGGGGTGCTAGAGTTTAGAAGTTGGGGAGATTAGAGAGAATCAGCAAAGGGAACTAAGAGAGGCACAGCCAGGGAGGTTGGGGGAGAACCAGGGGAGCCCAAGCTCTCTCCACGACACCATCCTGCTTGGAAAGCCAAGCGGGGCATAGGCTTCCCAGAGCTCTGGACTTTTTCTGTCCAGGAGAATGAGTCTGGGTGGTCGTTCAGGGTCACACAATCGTGCAACAGCCCTTTTCTTGTCCTTAAGGGGAGTCTAGGCCATTCCCTTCCATCCTCTCTCCCTCTCTCTTCCCTGCCTTTCTTCTTGCCGGCTTCATCAAACACAGACTCACACCTTCTTTTATGCCCCACTCATACCTCCTCCATGCCAGGCGCCATGTTAGCCGTGGGGGGAATGCAGTTGAGAAGATAGGCGGACCCAAAACAACTAACTCAAATCATATAGGATAACCATTGAAGCAAAAGTGTTCCAGAAACTTAGAGGCCAGGGCAGAATTTCTTGTGCTTGTGTGGTTTACAAAGCGCCTTCATGTTTAATTCTCTCATGTGGTTGCTGAGAGGAAGCCAGGGGAGTTCAGAGCAGGGCATCACGGGAAGGCCTGCCATGTCATCCCAGGACTCCATCTTGAGTTCCTAGCAGAGATGGAGTGAGGCCAAGACAGATCCTCTAAGATGGTTGCTGCCTTCTGTAGTGGATGCTGTGGTGTGCTACCCGAATCCCCCCTTCAGGACGGAGGTGCTCATCCCCCCAGCTGTCTGGTGTGGTAGCTGCTGACAGTCACAGCTGAGTCTCTCTCCAGCATCTGCCCTCAGCTAAGGGGAGATCTTGCCCAAGTTTACACTACATTCCTAGGGCAGCCCACATCCAATGACTGACTGGTGCAGGAATTCAACGGCCTGGCCCCCTTGCCATGTTTTGGGACAATTCTGAACCGCCATCTCAGCTCTAGAGCTCCCTCTGGGACCAAATGAGGTCCCCATGGTAACTACATTGTGGTTCAACTTCTCCCTCTGCCTAATCCTGCTTCTCTCACTCCCCAAGGTCATGCCTCCCGGTGCAGAGCCCAATAAACATCCTGTATCAAATACCTATCTCAGAGTCTTCCCAACATCCATTCTCCCTTTCCTCCACCCTAACAGAACCCCAATTTTGAAGCCATGGGCTTCAGGGGAACTGACCCTACTCCTAATGCAAGAGGTGGATCCTGATGATCGTTAAGTCCATCAGAATGCAGTGCTCCTCTCTCAATGGCCCAGGGATGGACATGTGAATAAACTGGCCCAATCAGATGGAAGAGAACGTCTTACTCCAGAATGGAGGTGAACAAGGAAGCATGAAGAACATAACCCAGAATGCCACCAGCAGCCAACACAGGATGGGGGAGTCTGCCCAAGAATGAAGCTGAGCCCGAGGCCAGCCAGCAGAGACAGAATGAGCCTAAGACCCGGGTGACTTCATGGAGACACTAATCCCCAGGCTTCAGAGTGGTTAAGCCAGTTTGAGGTGGAATGTTCCATGACCTGCAGCCAAAATAATCCTGATATAAGGTTGATGCATTTACTGGCTACTGGCTGCTCAAACCTGCTTGCTGGCCCCTGGTGTGTCTGCGGGAAGGTATTCTTGCCGAGGCTCTTGTCTGAGGCAGAATTTTTCACTCTGAAGAGACTTAGGGGCCCTGAGTCCTTTTCTTTAGCAGCAGAGTACCTTTAGGTTGGGGGGAAGCTATCAGGAGAAATCTATGTCCAAGCTCCTGAAGTTTCCTCCATGTGGAGGGAGTAACACCCCTGGTTTTTCTGCCCCTCGTCATTCACTCCTCCTCAGAGGGAGTGACACACTCAGATTGGAGGGTTCTGAGGAGAAATGGGGCAATGTGGCCCAGCCCATTCTCCTTTCCTCTCCCTTTGGGAGCCGTCTTTCCCACAAACAGCATGTAATTTGCTCTGCCTCCCAGATCGTAGGTTTTTCAGGTCGGGCCTCCAACATGGGGAAGCCTGAGGCAGCCCAATGCTGCCTGTGTTTGATGGGTAAGTCTGTGTAATTCTGGGGTTCAGAACTGAGAAGGCCATTTGCCCATATGCCTAAGTCACATTCTTCAATATCTTTAGTCAGACTAAGGTGATACACTTGATTTTTTCCAATTCCTTACTCTTGCTACACCCGACACCTCGCACAGAGCCTGCAACGTGGCTGACTGGTTGGGAAAGCGCATTGTAGTGGCCAAGTCAAGTGTGAGGTGGATCGATGAGCCTTAATGCTTCTTCTAATCCAAGACCCAGTGATTCGTGTTTTCTGACAAAGGGAAGGGTCTCAGTTCTTGTCGAAGAGACATCTTTTTTGTCCCCTAACACTTAATTCTGAAAGGCGTTTATTCAGTGGTTCCTCATAAGAGACCTTGCACAATGAACAGCAAATTGTGCCAATATTAGCAGTTTTATAAAAGTTGTTGAGACTTCTCCTGGCCCAACTGGAACCTCCCTCCTGCCCCTTCCCACCTTTCTTGCATGACCCCCTGGCCTTGTGGGCCCAGGAGAGGGCAGTAGGCTCCTCACAGGGCTCATTAAGGTTTGCTTTTTCCTTGCCCGAAGTGATCCTTAGTAAATCTCCGCTTTGGGGTCTGAGAACCTGACCTTCAGGCAAGGCACCGTCTCGGTTGGCTTGGAGGGGGGCATTACTCCCTGTGGAATGATCGCCCCTCTGAGTGACAGGCCCTGACAGAGAGCCTGTCTCCCCCGGGTCTCTGCCTATTAACCCCCTCCGTCTGGGCTTTCACGGGGAGTGTCCTGACCCTGGACTTGACTGGCTCTGCCTCCCTGTCAGCACTTCTTAGCTAAGCTGTTCCATCCTACTCTCTTTTCTGCCCAACAGGAGAATAAAGGAAGGCTTGGTGCCTCCCAGACGGGATCGGATTCCAGATCATTCGTAATGAAAACACACCAAGCCAAGCAAACACAGCAGATGTTCCCTCAGCCGTGCTTTATTATTTCATCCTCAGCATAGACATTTCATTGCTTCGGGCCATGTCTGCAGGTGAGCCACCCAGGGTTCCTCCTTCCCTTTGTTGGGCTGGGGGCGGGGGTCATCAGCCTGGCTTTCGTGGGCAAGATCACGTGACCAACCATAAACAAGAAAAAGAACACTGAGAGGCAGGAGGCCCAGACTCCAGTTCCCACTGGGAAGGGATCTCATTGGGTGACCTTGGGCAAATAGTTTCCTCTCTGAACTCTTGGCTTCAAAATTAACCATGCTGGCTTAGGTTATAAAACTAAGTAGAGGACAGCATTACTTACAATAGCCAAGACATGGAAACAACCTAAGTGTCCGTCAATGGATGAATGGATAAAGAAAATGTGGGATATATACACAATGGAATATTATTCAGCCTTGAGAAAGAAGGAAATCCTGCCGTTTGCAAGAACATGGATGGACCTTGGCTGGACCTTGAGGGCATTATCCTAAGTGAAATAAATCAGATGAATCAGACAGAGAAAGACAAATACAGCATGATCTCACTTCTTTGTGGGATCTAAAAAAGCTGAACTCATAAAAACAGAGACTGGAATGGTGGTGACCGGGGCTGGGGGCTGGGGGAATTGGGAAGATGTAGTTTAAGGGCAGAAACGTGCAACTAGAAGATGAATAAGTTCTAGAGATCTAACACACAGCATATCATAGTGTTATAGTCAACAATACTGTATTATATGCTTCAAAGTTGCTAAGAGACTGGATCTTAAATAGTCTCACCGCCAAAAAGACATGATAAAGGTGATAGCTACACTATGGTGGTGATCATATTGCAATACATAAATGGGCCAAACCAACACGCTGTGCACCTTAAACTTACACAAAGTTATATGTCAATTATATCTCAATTTAAAAAAAGTAAGTGGAGGTTAAGAGGGTGGTGTTTGAAGCCAGACCACCTGACTTTGAACTCTGGCTCACTAAGTGCTGGGGGTGGGGGGGTGACTCCAACTCTTGATCTTCCAGCTCCCTCGGCTGTAAAGTGGTAATTAGTACCCAGCTCAGAGGTGCTATAGGTAAGACGAGTAGGTAAGTTAACCCATGTCCAGTCCTCAGGCAGTTCTGGCTCATAGCATGCTCCCAGTACATTCATTATCATCATCATCATCATCATTATTCCTCAGATGCTCACAGTCTGTAAGGGAGTCATGCATGACAACTCAAAGCACCCTAGTGACTTACAGATGGGGTGACAAAATTCTGCCTAGACACCTGTGTGTACAAGGTCCAGGGCGGGGTTCACATCCACTGAGGAGGTCAGGGAGAAGTTCAGGAAACTCTTGAACTTGAGCTGAGTCTGGTGTTGATGAAGCTGACACAGGTGTGGTGTGCTCATGGAAGATAAAGGAGGGAGGGAAAGGCAGAGAAACATGGAACAGTCTGGCATATTTGGGGATTGGAGGGGGGTTGGGTGTGGCCGGAGCACGGTGTGTGAGGAAGCCTGGGCTGAGAGAGGACTGTGTAGGATTTGGTGGATCCTGGTGGATCTTGCAGGCTTTACCCGTGGGCAACATGGAGCCACAGTCGAGTTTTAAGCAGAGGAGTGATGTAGCCAGTTCTGGGTTTTAGGACCCGCACTTCAGCAGCCACTGTGGAAAATGGATGGGAGGGGCCAGCGAGGAGGCTGAGCCATCATTTAGGCAGTGACTGCTGCAGTTTAAACCAGAAGTGATGCAGAGCTGACCTGAGGCAGTGGGAAGAGAGAGGCAGAAAAATACAGGAAATGCTCGAGGTGGAAGCAACAGGCAGGAGTGGATGTGAGGGGCCCAGGGGGAGCCAAACGATAGAACTGTTGGCTGAGGGCAACAGAACTTGGCTGCCATTGCTGGGAGCCCTTTATACCAGGACTCCTGCCATGCTGCAGATGACGAGGGAGCCCAGGGAGGGCTGAGTAACTTCTTCAAGGTTGCACAGCTGGCGAGCAAAAGAGAAGGATACTCATCCAGCAGTCTGACTTCAGCACTCCCAGCTGTAACCACTGCACAAGGCTGCCTCTCTCTAAGAATGGCTAACTTTCACTGAGTGCCTTCCACACGCCAGGCATCGTTCTAAGTAACTCGCCCAAGGTTACTCAGCTGGTAAGTAGCAGAGCTGTGATTCAAACCCAACCAGCGGAGCTCCTGGTCCACACTCCTTACCACTACGCCGAATTGCGTTGGGTGTCACCGTGATACAGGTGAGACCATGGGAGTGGACGCTATTCTCTAAGGCATCGCTGTCCCTAAAGCCACGTGTAATTCTAAGTTTTCTAGGAGCCACATTAAAAAAGGAAAAAGAAACAGGTGAAACTAATTTTAAGAATGTATTTTATTTAACCCAATATATAAAAATTTTTATCATTTCCATGTATAATCTTTATAAAATTATGAACGAGATATGTATGTGCTCTTTTTTTGTACTCTCATCTTTGAAATTGGGTGTGTCTTTTACACTCCCGGCTCATCTCAATTGAGCCACATATCCAGTGCTCAGCAGGCATGTGTGGCTAGTGGCCACCGGATTGGACGGGGCAGGTCTGAGGAATCTATGTACAGTGAGAAAGAGAGAGGGGCCAGGACAGAACCCCAGGGCACATGGACAGAAGGGCGGAAGAGGTCCTGCAAAGGAGACGAAAAAAGTCTGATTGGAGAGAAAGGAGGAAAGGCTGCGAGTGGTGTTCTAGAAGGCAGGCTGGGGCTACATTTCAGGAGACAGGTCAACAGTGACAAATGGCCAAGTTGCCAAACCAAGGGGCTTACAACTTTATCAGGTTTGTCTATCCAGAGGTCATGAATGATCTTTGCCAGACAAAGTTTTGGGGAGTGGGGGGAGCTGATTTAGGGAGCTGGAGAGTGAGTAGAGACAGCAGCTACAGGCTCTCTCTCTTTTTTTTTCTGAGGAAGATCAGCCCTGAGCTAAAATACATGCCAATGCTCCTCTTTTTGCTGAGGAAGACTGGCCCTGGGCTAACGTCCATGCCCATCTTCCTCTACTTTATATGGGACGCCACCACAGCATGGCTTGATAAGCAGTGCGTCGATGGATCTGAACCTGCGAACCCCAGGCCGCCGCAGTGGAGCGCGCACTTAACCGCTGCGCCACCGGGCCGGCCCCTACAGGCTCTTCTTTCAAGAAACTTGGCTGAAGAAGTTGGGTTGGAGAGGCACCCAGGCTCGATGAAGAGTATTTATTCTTTCAAAACCTGAGTGAGACTTGAACATGCTTCATGTTGAAAAGATGCCAGTTTAGAGGCAGCGTGGAGAACCAGGGGTGAGAAGGTAGCCAAGTCCCGGAGGATATGGGTGGAGACAAGAGCCAGAGCTCAGAGGTAAAACAAACTCTGAGCAGGAGAAAAGATGTCACTGAGACAGGGTGGGTGGAGGGTGTGAGGGAGGGCAAGGATGTAGGAAGATGTCCACGTGTGAAGGCAGAAGGCGACCAGATGATGTCTGCCAGCGTCACTGAGTTCTGTGACAGGGACCTGTGTCCTCTTTTTGGGAGAAGGAGATGGGGCTGGAAGAGAGCAGTGGAGTTCTAGAGACACCACAGTGGGGATGGGAAAGGCAGCTGACTAGAGAGATGTAAAAGCATTGCCAAGACCCGCTGCGTGGAGCTGCGACGTCAGCTCAGTGGAGGGTTTTTCTCCAGCCGTGCTCAGCAGTCTGGACTTAGGAGACACGAAGGGCCGTGGCTGGATTATCCAAGGTTGGGAGTCCTAGGGCAGGTGTGACAGAAGGATGAGGGAGGTGGCTCATTTCTTCAGCAAGCGTGTATTAACTGGCTACTCTATGCCTGGTACTGTACTAGGTGCTAGAGATAGTACACAGAGCTGAATGAGACACGAGTCCAGCCTCCATGGAGCTCATGGGAATGGTTCTCTCCAAACTCTCAGTTGGTTCTTAACATAGAAGGGAAAGAGAAGGGTTATGTGTTGGGCCTTAGTATGTTTGACCAAAAATTAGGATGTCCTGAAGTTTAACATTCCACATGTGGAGTTGACATGGTCCACTGTGGTCCACTGTATGGGCAGGGTGGCTGCTCTGGACAGTGGGTGCTGATCTTGAAGTCATGGAGGTAGGGATTACCATCTCCATATCCCTGGATGGGGCTGATGAGGCTCAGAGAGGGCATGTGACCGGCATGAGGTCACACAGCTAGTAAGTGGGAAGATTGGACCCAGAGCCTGCTACTTTTACTTCTTCATATTCC